TTGATTAGTTTATAATTGATTAGAGAATTGTTATATGATATTGAATTAAATTGAAACATTGATTGAGATAATTATGATTTTAAATACTCACAAGCTGTAATATAATTTATATTGATTAGTTTATTAGGAATATAATTTATGTAAATTATTATTAGTAATAAATTATGAATTTAAATAAAATTCAATATAACAATGTGCCTACTCTTCCGATTCATTCATTTCTTCCATTTCTTTTAAATAAAATCTAAAAAAAAATATTACATTATCAGATTAAATAAATTCCGTTTTGTATGCATTAGTACAGCAACAATTACGAAATACAAAATTGGTATTACATAAACGATTTCCTTTCTTACCAAATAAAAATATTCATGCATCATTCATATTTTAATATATATAATTATTATTTTATTTATTATTTTATTTATTATTTAAAATAATATTTTATTAAGCATGTATATGATATATGGGATCGCCCACTGCAAAAATCTTATTTTTTTGACCTCTTTTTTGTAAAAAACTATTTTTTTTTAATATTAACTAAATAAGATTGGAATAAATTAATTTATATATATATATATATATAAAATCACTTATATTTATTTTTAAGCGATAAAAATAGTAAAAAAAATTAATTATTTTACTATTTTCCATGTGATAATAAAAAAATAATTTTTTTTACTATTTTTAATAAATATATTTTTATATTGATTATCGAAAATGATTTTTGATAATCACAAGTAAATTTTTTATAAAAATAGATTTATTAAATAGTAAAAAAAAAAAATATTTTTTTTTACCATTTTTAAAATTTCAGAAATTATATAAACACCCGCTATTCTTTGGGTGGGTGGGTGGAGGTTATTCTTCTAAATGGTTATGATCATGTACTATGTACTATGTATATAAATTCTTGACCTTTTTTTTTCCATTTCGGGTCACAAAAATCTTCCCAAAAAAGAGTATTGTTGACAAGTGATTGAACTTAAGAACTTACCTACTGGGTGAAGGTATTTTGTGCCGTGACTTCACCGAAAAAGGAATAACAATAGGGTAAAATCTATACTATGATAATTAAATATCTGTTATTGTTGAATTTAATGATCTGCTATAATATCTAGAATTGGGATGTTCATATCTTGGATTTTTTACAAATGGTTTTTTGGATTTGATCATTTCAAGTCGTTTTTTTTCAGCTTCATTATATTCGAAAATATCTAATATAAGTTTTAGTCCATGTTCTTGATCATGAAATAGTCTATGTCCTGATGTCAATTGCCACATAATCATTCCTAAACTGTAAATATCTGATGCATATGAATATGGTTGATTTTTAAATAATTCTGGAGCCATATATGGAATTATTCCATATATTTGAGATTCACTTGAAAGATTTGAATCAATATTTGCTGGTTGAATAAATCCTAAATCTAAAATAACTGTATTACTAGAACTATCATTTATATCATTAATATTCTTATTAACAAGAATGTTACCACCATGTAAATCTCGATGTAAAATTTTCTTATCATGAATTTTTTTAATTCCTTTAGCAATACTATTTAAATAACAAATTTTACGATCCCATGTAAATTTTTCAAAGTTTTTGTGGATGTAATGATGTAAATCTCCATTTGGTATATATTCTAAAACAAAAGCATAATTTTTTGTTTGTGGACCTCGCGTTACTCCATAACATTCAATTATGTTTTCTTCGTGATTATAAAGCTTCTTAGGCTTGAACTGAAATATATGCTTCAAACAATAAATAAATATTGTTATATTAAAATCATTGATAACAATAACAAATGATTTTTACCTCATTTAAAAATACCGTATCCAGGTTCTGGGAGTTATTTAATACTTTCAAAATAACTATTTGTTTTGACGACCGAATAACAGTACCTTTATCACTTATGCCTTTAATAATTTTCCAAGTAGCTTTGAGAATTTTACTGAAGCCACCTTGTCCAATTTACTCTACATCTTTAAACTCTTTTATAAGGAACCCATTGTAAAACTGATCCCCAATTTTATTCTTTGATGACTGTGTTCCTTTGATAAAATTATCAATGTTTATATTGCCGCTGTTAGCAACAATTAGAGAATTAATGCCATGACAATAATAACATATATGTGAACTGTTAATAAGTTTTCTTCTATTGCATTTTATACATTTGATAGATTCATTGAGTTTTCTTATAACAAAAGTCATTTATTCAAATGAAATAGAACTTATGAATAATGGTGTTCATTCGCAAATGACTCTGTCATTTGAAAACCAATAAAAAATTGGGTCTCGATGACATGTGATATTCTCAATCAATAATGCAAAGTTCTATATTTTCTCAAAATTAAATAAATTATTATATAATATTGGAGAATTATGATAAGTGACCTACCATGAATGAATGACAAATGACCAAAGTCATCAAGTCATTTTCAATGTATTCGATTAAGAAATGGTAAACTATTATTAGTCCGGAGCATATTAATTGGATAAATTATAACCTCGTGTTATTTACCTGACAATCTTTACCTAAAAATTGGAGCCTCACTCCCTCACTCCAGGATGTTTATTATATTGAAAAATAAATTTACAATTTATGATACAATTAATTGCATAAAGGAATTAAAATAATTACCACTCAACCCATCGTTTGCCTGATAAAACAGGAAACTGATTAGCCAAGGCCCTGTCAGTTGTTTTTATAATATTGTGATATCCCTCTTATGCTAACTCTCTTCAAAAAACCTCAGATATAACCACTTCTGAGCATGAAAAATTGTTGTGTCAAGTGAATTCTTTTTAAACCCTGAACTGCGGTCCATATTGTAGTCGATCTCATTCATGTTACTCTGTTGTTGATGAGTTTCGGTCCCCAATTCTCCGTACGTAAATTCTTATTTCTAAATTATCTTGTATCAATGATTCATTTACTATCAGCTTCCTTCTCCCTTTCTTTTCTCCTTTTTTGAGATGTTTTGGCTTTCTCCCAACACCTATCCCAAGTTATATTCTGATATTTTATATTTATGAATCAAATCATGCAGAACTTTTAAAGCATCAAAAACGGAATTTGGTGTCACTTTACTTGTCCATTTCCAGACAGTAAATAAATAAAAATGCATGAATAGATTTTTTGTTATTTTTTTATGGCCCGTCCAAAATGGAAAACACAAAAATTACCAATATATAGCTTGGAAAAAGAAAAAAAAATTAAATACTCACTGATGATAATGAAGCAAGTGTTGTTAGATATCAAATCAAACTGGTGCTGCAAAATTTTTTCTGTTTCAATGTAAAATATAGAAACAATTAAAATTTTTAAGTGTCCATTAGGAAATCTGAAAAACTTGCACAACTAAATATCAGAGGAAGATCAAAGCAAAAAAAAAAAATCAAAAAAAAAAAAATCAAAAAAAAAATGGACAAACACTTGCATTGAATTTGATGAACACACAAATATGCTAGAGAATCTGTCATTTTTATGAATTGCTAAATATGTTTTAAAGAAATTTAAATACATAGAGCTGTTCTAGATTTTATTTTTGAAAATATTGAATAATAAAATAAAATTCGCAATAATTTTACGAAATTATTGATCACGTATAAATTTCCAGTCAACCTTCAATACAACGAATTTTACATAACGAATATTTGTTTGGCCCCGACCGATTTTTCATAATAAAAAAAATTCGATATAGCGTAGTACGAAGTTTACTCGGTGAGCACGTACAGTATATTAAATCGAACCTCGATATAATGTAATTTTTTTTTCAGTATAACGAAGCTAAAGATTAGAGATAACGAATTTTGAAAATTTTAAGAATATTCATTATATACGGTATATGAATCTTAATTAATCTGTGTTATAGTGTTAACGAATTTTCTTATAACGGCCCGGCCACTAACTTCAATGTGCAAAGGGTCGACTGTATATAATTTTATTAAACCATGCAATTACAAAAAATGCAAATGTATTAAATGTATTAAAAAATCAATGTTTTTTTAAATTACCAAATCATATGTATCTATATATTATAATTAAAATGCAAATAAAAATTGTTGATATCTATGTAAAAAAAAAACAAAAAGATTGTATATGATTATTTATAAAACTTTCAATAAATTATTCTTCATTTGAAATTATCTAATCTCATGCGATGGAAGTAAAAAAATAAAAATAAAAGTAAGTAATTTATTGAAAATAAGAAATAATAAAATTTATTAATTTCATCCATACCTTCATCTACAAAACATTCATTGAAATATCCAACAAATTTTTTTCGTTTAAAATCATCTGTTTGGTAAAAAAGAAAAATAATTAAATTTGTTATAAAATTTCAAATATTACTTTGATCTTCAATATTTTCTTCTTGCAGTAATTCATCCAAAAAATGTTTTTTAGAATTTTCCACACTTAAATTATGATCTGAAAAATTATTCCCTTGATTATTATTAAATATAGATTAGTGAAATCGATCAATTGCATATTAAGTAATATATAGAATATTATAATTCTTACTTGATATTCATTATATCAAAATTATCATTAGATAACAAATTATTGTTAGAAAATAGATCTATAGAAATCATATATGCATAAGAAATTGTTTATTTAATGAATTAATTTTTTTAAAAATTATTAGAATAATTAAATACCTGTTATTGTTGAATTAATAGATTCTAACATAGAATTTAATGATCTGCTAAAATATCTAGAATTAGGATGCTCATATCCGGGATTTTTTACAAATGGTTTTTTGGATTCAACCATTTCAAGTCGTTTTTTTTCGGATTTATTAAATTCTAACCAACTATTATATCTATCTGGATAATATTTTTTCGCTTCGCATTCGGAACGTTCAGAAAGATGATAATCACGATTATGATAATATGTAAATTCTTCTGATAATTTAGAAATTCCATAGATTGATGGCCGTTGAGAAGGATCAGGATTCCAACATCTTTTCATTAAATTAGCCCAGAATTCTGGTGTATCTTCTGTAATTTCTGGTCTTTTTCCATCTAAAATATCTAATATAAGTTTTGTCTATGTTTTTGATCATGAAATGGTCTATGTCCTGATGTCATTTGCCACATAATCATTCCTAGACTATAAATATCTGATGCATATGAGTATGGTTGATTTTTAAATAATTCTGGAGCCATATATGGAATTACTCCGTATATTTGAGATTTTCTTGAAAGATTTGAATCAATATTTGCTGGTTGACTAAATCCTAAATCTGAAATAATTGCAAAATGACTTTTACATACAATCATCCCGATATCATCTATAAGAATATTATCACTATGCAAATCTCGATGTATAATTTTCTTTTTGTGGATTTCATTAATCCCTTTAATAATATCATTTAAATAATTAATTTTACTTTCCCATGTAAAATTTCCAAAGTTTTTATGTATAAAATGATGCAAATCTCCATTTGGTATATTCTAAAACAAATGCATAATTTTTTGTTTGTGGATCCTGCGTTACTCCATAACATTCGATTATGTTATGGTAATAAAACTTCGGAACCTTGAACTGAAATGTATGTTTCAACTATATTTTTTCAAATGCAATAAATAAATATTAATAAATTAAAATAATTAATAACAATAAATAAATGGTTGTTACCTCATTTAAAAATTCTGTATCAACATTCTCGGAGTTATTTAAAACTTTCAAAACAATTTCTTGTTCTGACTTTGACCACTTAATGATACCTTCATAGTTTATACCACTATTTATTTTTCAGGTGGCTTTAAAAATCTGACTTGAGCTACCTTACCCAATTTTCGTTACATCCTCAAATTCTTTAAAAGGAAGCCACTCTAAAAACCGATTACCACGTCTATTCGTTGATGACCGCGTTCCTATGATAAAATTATCAATGTTTATGTTCCACTGTTAGGAGAATTTATGCCATAACAATAATGACATATATGTGAACTATTGATACGCTCTCCGTTATTACAATTTAAATATTTGATATTTTTATCTCCATCCAATTTTCTTTTAACAAAAATTTTAGTCATTTAATCAGAAACGGAATAGTAGATGATTCAAAAAAAAATTTTGAAAAATACTTTTGTCTACCGTCGAGAAATTAAAAATCAAATGTTATCTATTATACGGTCATATGGTGTAGCGCTTAGTGCAGTATTTATATATTGTCAGCGAAGAGGTTACACCTGGTTTTTTTAAAACTCCGAGGTAACACTATTTGAGAATTTTATTTTGAAACTCCGAGAATGGAATGTTTAATTCGAAAATTTAAACGTTCGAAAACGAATTTCCCTTATGAATCACGTCTTTAACTTAGTTACATGTCATTGTGCCTCAATGCAGTAAGACCATAGCCATGTGTATTTTTTTTAAAAAAAAATTATTATATAATTGAGCTTTAAATAAAAGATACGTCACCAGCCAGTGTTTGAAATTCAAATTTTAAACCCCGTGCGGAATATACAGAATTTAGAACTCTATATGTAAAAATTTGTGCGTTGCCTTTTTTTTATGCGCGGAATTTTCAAATTTTATGCTAGCGCACATTCCGCACATTGAATTTCAAACACTGTCACCAACCTAAACTATTTACAGTACCATTGGTTTTTTTTTAAGAAAAAAACGTAAATTTATTTAATAAATAAATTATAGCCATAAAAATAAAATAAAAAAATCATATAATCAAATGAGATAATTTTAAAGATACGTAAAAATAATAAAAAATATGAAAAATAAAATAAAATAAATCCGAATTTAAAGAATTTGTTACAAAAAATGTATTATAATATATTTGTTCTATCTAATGGCATGTAATAGAAGTAAAAAGTGAAAATAAGTAATTTATTGAAAATAAAGAATAATAATTTTATTAATAATTTTATAACTTCTACAAAACATCATCAATTTTTCTTCGTTTTAAAGTCATTTATTTGGTAAAATATAAATTAAAAAAATAATAAAAATAAATTAAAATTTATGTAATTCCTATATCAAATGATCATTAGAATTAGGTAATGGATCTATTTCATTTTAGAATTAATTAAATACCTACCTGTTATTGTTGAATTAATAGGTTTAAATGATCGACTATAATATCTGCAATCAAGTTTTTTTCTGGGAACGATAACAATAATAATTATGAAATTTAAATCTTTCTGATAATTCGATGTATTATTTTCTTATCATGAAAATCAAATTCTTTAATTGTTAATAAACAAAATTCGATATTTTTAAACTTTTCATATGGAATCCATTCTAAAACTGGATTTATTCTTATATTTATTGATAACTAGTATGAAATTATCAATTTTTTTCATTATCACTGTTAACTAGAATTTTTTCAAAAGCACTTTAGACATTTATGTGAACTATTAACTAAAAAACCATTGTTACATTTTAAATAGTTACTATATTCATTGGATCCATCAAGTTTTCTTTAGAGAAAAAGTAATATCCTAAAATCTATTTATAGTAAATAGAATTTTGAGAAAACTATTACGTATTTCTTTGATATTTTGTGTCATGTAAACAAATATTTCAAAAAAAATTGTATTTCTGTGATTTCGATGTAGAAAGTTCATCGTTTAAAATTTTTCGTGAAACAAACAATTTAAAGTCGTAAATAAACTTTTCCATCAATATATATTATGTAATATATGAAAATCAATTCTGCAAATATTATTTCAATAGATTTTTGGAACATTGACATATGTCATTGTTACTTTATTTTTAGAAACCCTATAAATATAGATCAACACATGTCATGTAACCCTTGAATACATAATAAAAAAATTATTTCTAAATTTTTATTTTTAATTTAAGAATAAATATTAAAAATTTATATTATTGAATTCTTGTAAGATAAATAAAAATAATTAAAATTTTCAGAATATATTAAACAACAATGACAAAATTATTCCATTAAACATTTTCTTTAATAAAGTCTAAAATTTCCTCAGAGCAATCGCAGCTTCTTTATATAGTTCCTTACCATATTGAGAATAACAAAGACCAAATAAAGCACCAGACAAATGTGCCTAATTTAAATAATATTAAACATTAATATTATATTATATATAATAAAATATTAAATATTAAATATTAAAAAGAATATAAAATAATTATTAATACTTACAACATGATCAAAGATAGTCTTTCCAGAAATGATACCAAATATGTCAAATGCTATTAATGCCGGAAGTGCATGAATTATCTTTATCGGAAAGAAAGGTAGAAATATCAAAACCACTGACGCTTCAGGGAATTCCACAGCTACCAAACTTAAACAAGCATAAATAGCTCCAGATGCTCCTAATGATGGTCTTATATTTTTCCAATTTTTAAATTTTAAAGATATGACATGACTCATACACGATGCTATCATTCCTGAGGTAAGATAAAATGCTAAAAATTGTTCCCTTCCCAAAATATGATATCCGATATCACCAAAAGAATATAATCCTATCATGTTAAAACCAAAATGCCAAAATTCACGATGACTAAATGTTGAAGTGAGTAAGGTAATTAATCTAACGGAAAGTGGATTATGAACGAAATATTTATTCATAAAAGCTTGTAACGGTACCAATTGCCACATCCCGAAAACTATAGCATTAATACCAATTAAAATTGCCATGGTTTTTTTTCCATCACTAATTGAATACCATTGTTTCTTTAAAAGATCCCAATTTCTTTGAATCTCTTTATAAAATTTTGATTTATTTAAATCTTCAAAAGTAGTTTTGGAAAATCCTGATTTATTCCTATTAAACCAATATTCATCTAGTCCATACCAGTAAGAATGTCTAACATTTCTACGTCGATTTTCCGAATATAATAATGCAACAGCGAAGGATGCACCTGAGGCGAAAATTGTGAATAAAATCGGTTTTAAAATTTGAGGTTTTATCCGACGTCTTTCAACATTTATTTGTACCCGTGGTATATGACTTCGAACGTTTATCCAATCTTTTTTTATTAGATTAAACCTTGAGAAACATAAATTATTTGGGTTTCGATTATATGATAAATTGCAAATGGTAAAAAGTTTACGAGTATTTTTTGATAACATTTTTAGAAAAAAAAACGAAAAAAAAAAATTATAATAAATGATAAAAATGACCAGTGATAATCTATTGATTTAACTATCACATGTTCTACATCTCAATCAATTTCTTTAAAAGAAAGATATGTTAATTTTAGACCACGTACTTTCCTATTTATAACAGAAAAGGGTTTTATTTTAAATACAAATAATTGCATATATACAAATATATTTAAAAATATCAAAATACGCTAAGAAAATAAATTCACATAACATGAAAAAAATGAATATAATCTTTCTTCAATTAATCTTCTAAACTAACTAATAAATCCAATTCTGGAATAATCCATCTAGCCGTAGGTTGACCACTTTCACGAACCATTCTTAAACATTCGCGTTGCATAAAATGCGCACGGAGTTCTTCAAGATATTCTCCTAATCGATTTAAACCTTTACCATTTATTCCTCCATCACCCCAATAAGAATCCCTTTCAGTATGTTCATAAATTTTCGCCGTTCCGGTAGAAAGTAGTAAATATTTTAACTTATCGTGTTGTTCGAATTTACATTTTAATGCATACATCATGATAAATTCTTTAAATAATCGTTTTTGAGGAAAATTCCTAGAAGAACAAGCTACTTCCCATTCTTTACGTTTTAAACTATTGTATTCTCGTCCCAATTTAAATGCGTCACTTGGAAATCGCAGTTTACGAATTCTTTCGCGAAGTTCAAGTTGACAAAATTTCGAGGCTTGAACTATTAAAATAATAATATAATTTTTATTATTTCTAAAATGAAAATGATGTATGGTTTTTTTTTTATAAATATGTAGATACTTACAATAATGTTCTGTTGTAGGCCATAGTTTATTATCAATCATAACAGGTGCTGAATAGAAATTCGTAAATTCGTAATATGGCTCGCCTCTGTTATAGAATTGTACTGTATCATCCTTTTCCTATTAAATCATTAAACATGAACGAATATTAATTATGATAAAAATAGAAATAATAATAATAATGATAAAACTTTAAATACCGAATTAGAAACTCTTGACGTTTCTTCATTTAATAAAGCCAACAATGCATCTTTATTAAATCCAAAAATAACAGCGTTGGCACCAGCCAATTTGAAACCATTTTCAGAGTAATAAGAGTAATAAGTTAATGCGATTACGACAATTTTTAAAGATCGCTTGAGAAAAAGGTCTCGTAAGTTTTTAACAAAACCTTTCATGAGATTATTGTTATCTGAAACCACAAACAGAGAGATTTTCCATCCATTAACCCAACAATTAAGCACTGCATCAGTGACAAATTTAATTCCCGATTCAGGAAAAAGTTCACGTGAAATAGGTTGGATTCCTAGTCTTTGGTATTCATCGGTTTCCAAACCAAAATTGATTTTGCGACCAAAAGTGACAAAAAGTGCAACCGATCTAATTTGTCTTTTATAATTGGTTGACTTCATGGCTTCATTGTTTCCATCAGTTTTATTATCCGTTTTTTTACCGGTTGACATACTTCCATTATTTTCTGGAATATTAATCCCGTAATCTTTGCTTCCATTGAAATGCTGCGTATTTCTTTTATCGGTTGACATACTTCCATTATTTTCTGGAATATTAATCCCGTAATCTTTGCTTCCATTGAAATGCTGCGTATTTCTTTTATCGGTTGACATACTTCCATCATTTTGTGGAATATTACTCCCGTAATCTTTGCTTTCATTGAATTGAGAAGTAGGAGTTATTTGATTTTCTACTTTCATCTTAGAAGAATTATTCAGTTGAAAAGTTTCTTTATCATAACTCTTCAAAAGGTCACCGTCGCATAAACTATGGTTTAAGTTAGAATTCTCTTTGGAATATGGTTTAACAGGTTCAGATAATGTCTTAGGTGGTTTTTCATTCTTTTCATTCTTTTCATTCGCTGGATTTATGCGAAAATTCTCTTCGGAATTTGGTTTAACGTGCCCAGATGATGTCCCAGGGGATGGGTTTGGTACGCATTTTTCTGGTTCAAGCGGTTTTTCATGCACTGAACTTTCGTGGCAAGAACAAAGACATATATCAAAGATTTCGAGGAGCATAGTTTCGGCAGTTTCGACTTCAGATTTGCAAGAACAAGGATATGCACCAGGAATATCGAGCATAACTGTACAATATAGACATTCAATATTCTCAATAATATTTTCTTTTTCTTCACTCTTATCTTCAAAAGGAGGAAGTTTTTCAGTTTCAAAGTCACCTTTAATCGCGGAGTCATCTTTAAAAAGAATGCGTAATAAGATTAATTATAATAATTAGTTGAGAATGAAAATTACCAAGTTAGATTAGTACGATTAAATAAAAGTCAGTAAAAGTTTTTTTTTAGTTTATTCAATGAAATTATTAGTTTATTCATTAAAATTACCGTCATTCTTCTTTTTTTTTTTATGTTTTTTGTGATTTTGTTTAATATCACTTTCACTTGCGCCTTTTTTTCTTTTCTCACCCATTGCCTCTTTACATGAAGTAGCGACTTGGTTGAAGTCACTTTCAAGAAATTCTTGAGACATTAAAGACGATGAGAAGAATGATAATGGGTAATTATTACAGTAAATATATTATTATGTGACCAAGTGATATAATGATTGACTCACCATGACGTACCTTTATTACATACATAATTACTAAATCAAATTTTTAAGAAAAAAGGTGTAATCATGATGCTTTTTGAATTTTTTAAGTTTTTGAATTTGATGAATTTTTTTATTTGATGAATTTTTTTTTTTGATGAATTTTTTTTTGAATTCTTTTTTGAATTTTTTGTTCTTTACTTTTCAAAAAAAAAAAAATGATTTGCGTTATTCTACATTGTGAAAATTCTGCAAAAGAAGAGGAGCACGGATTATGTAATGCTCATCTAAATATCTGGAAAGGTATTATTTATTCAGTATTAACATTAAGTACGTGTTGAATTGTTTATTAAAATTTATACATGCATTATTGTTATTAAGAGAGTCCATCGTTATTCCCTGGTAATATAAAAATTCAAAACGTTTCAAATCATACAAATTTAATCGAAATTCCAAAAAAGACGCAACTTTTTAAAGAGATTGAAAAGAAATTTTTTAATGATTGGGTGAAACCCAATGCTGACGGTGAGCAAATAATTTTATTTTTATTTTTTTATTATTTTAACTGGAGAAAAAGATCTTCATTTTTTATATTTATATATAGATCTTCGAATTGAAGCAATCTATAACATTTATTTGAATCCAACGATCGTCGAAAACTATAAGGCTTATCGTTTACAGGTTGAATTAAGAGGAAATTTCAAGGGACAAGGCCTTCCTGAAGGAAATGAAAAAATTTTGTATCATGGAACGGATCATATTTGTCAAATAATTTCTGATAAAACCCATCAAAATAATTTGTGTAAAACTGATAGATGTGGTGGTTGCGGTATATTAATGAATGGATTCGATATTTCTAAGGTTAATAAATTATTAAATTTTTTTTTTTATTAATAAGTTAATGAGGATGAGAAAATGAGTAATTTTTTATTTCTTTTTTTTTTTTTACTTCAAGGTGGGACATAATAACCAGCGCAGAACCTTTCAACGACTAGGTCAAGGACTTTATTTTACCCCATATTCATCAAAAGCACATTTTTATGGGCATGGAGGTGTAAGTTGATATTTTTTGAGATAAGATTTATTAACGATTCAAAAAAAAATAACGGAATTATTTTTTTTTTTTCCTTTACAAAAAAGGCGAAAAAATGTCCGAAGGATAATAGTAGAACTTGTAGAATTATGTTCATGTCTAAAGTGAATACACCATACCTTTTATTTTTTTTTTTTAAAAAAAAAAATAAATAAATAAATAAACAAACGTTAGCAAAACTGATTTCATAATAATATATAAAAGGTTGCCATTGGTAATCCCTGGGCACCACCAAAAGTGAGCCAAAACACGAGCTGTATACCTGCAGGATATGATAGTATTTGGGGACGAAAAGGTAATTTAATATTAAAGAATAAGAAATTAATTTTTTTTATTGAGATAATAAAATTTTCGTTTTTATAAAGGCCACTGCCCTCACGGCTCAGCCGTACTGAATTATGAGGAATATGCGATTTATCGGTGAGTGATATTTTATTCTTTCACATTATAATATTACACATCTAATATTTAATGTTATTTTAGACACGATGCGTGTTTACCGCTCCGATACATTGCATATTCATATACTAATACAAGTGAATGATAAATATTTAAAGATGTAAAAAATTATTCATATTATATTATTGATTGTTAACAACAAATAATAAATGAATATTTTAAATATTTTTATTATCATGTGAATATTTTTATCTATTATATAGATATTTTTATCTCTTTATGCTGACAAAAATAATTTTTAATGTAAGGAGAAATATGTTTGTGTTACATTGGGTTGTATTGGAAAAAATCATTTGCAATTTATAATCGGAGTTGTATAAAACTTTAATTTTACCTGCATAACAATTTTTAAAAAATATTCACATTTTATTTTATTTTTATATTCATTGAACCAAAATTAGGAAAAAATTTTTACGGACACAACAGTTATGAATGAATGAAAAAACGAATGAAAGAGGGAATTATTTTTTGTGAGTATAAAATTTGACGAATTACGAATTACAAATTGCAGATTATTTATATCTGTCATTATACACAAATGTAAAATAAATAAAAAATACGTACGTAATACAAAATGAAATAAAAGAATTTGGAAATAATGCAATAATGGATGCATGGAATAATAGAAAAATCGATATAAATCAAAATTTTTTATTATATTGTTTCGCAAATTTATCAATAAGATATAACAATAGAAGATAAAAATAAATAAATATGACAATAATATTTTTCTCCTTTCTTTCCGACATTATTTTTTTCTATTTTTAAGAAAAAAAAATTTTTTTAAACCAATTTAATTATTTTTTTTTGTTTTGTAAATAAATTTAATCTTTATTCACAATGAATCCTTCTGATCAAAAAAATTCATGTACGACCTCATTTACTTTTGATTCTCAAAAAACAAGAAAATCACGAACTAGTTTATTAAATTCACCAAATAATTTGTATCATCAAAGGCGTTTTAGTGAAATTCCACCAATTATTAACAATTACAATAATAATAACAACAACAACAACAATAATAATAATAACAATAGTAATAATAACCTTAATAGTAATAACAATAATAATAACTTTAATTATAATAAACGTCGTCATTCAAGACGTCACTCAGTTGGACCTATTTTACCACCTCCTATTCGTGAATCTCAGGAATACGAATTCGAAAAAATGTTAATGTCATCCGATTTCTCCCAATCTTTAGATCCTCAATGCTGTAATAAATCAATTGTAACAGAATTAAATGAGTTAAATAAATTATCCAAAAGAAATGATGGAAATAAAAATGATTATCTAGTTATACAATGTTCGAAGCATCTCAAGAAGAATACTCATGAAAAAGATTCATCAAAATGTGGATTTGTGAAATTTATAAATAATTTTTGGAAAAAAATATTAAAGAGAAAAAAAAATACTAAAGTTATTTGTGGCATTGGAAAATGTTCAGAAACAGTTACGGTGAAAAGAATAAAAGCTGGCAAAAAGGTATGAATTCAAGAAATTTCAAAGATATTAATTGTAAAAAAAAAAATTTTTTTTTTTAATTTAATAGAGAGAATTATTTTTTTTTTCAATATATACAATAACTATATTTTTTTTTATAGATGATTGTTAAGCGAGTTACTAAAGATAAACTTGGGTCCGAAGATTATTACATAAATGGTCATCCGGCAAGTTGTAAATGTAAAAGTTGTAAACTATTGTTTACAAGACCAATTCATCCATCTATTCAAAAAGATCGACCATCAAGACAAATCTCGGTTTCATCTGATCCTCCGGTATATAAAGGAGAAGAAGTTCAAAAAAATGCAACCCGATCCTTTTCTTTACCTACGGATATTTCTCTTTATTCACCCATATCTACTCCAGTTTTTCCTACATCCCCTTCTTCTTCTTCTTCTTCCCGTTTTTTTTATCCTACGACACCTATTTCAGCTTCCCCACTGATAGAATTACAAACATCGTCATCATTATCCAATGAAAATTCTAATTTCGAATTGCAACGTTCGTCTTCATTAGTTTTAGAAGATAATCATGAATTGATTAATTCACCTCGTAATTCTATTGATGATTCTTCTTTATCAAGTCTATCATTAAAAATTCCTGTAGAATTAAAATTAATGTTATCTCATAGTACAGATGGACCTGAATTAATTACCTATTTTGATGAAGATAAATATTATTATTATATTACTAAAATGCATGGTATTAGAAAACGGAAATGGAAAAAACCTAGAAGTTGGTTTATGAAAAAATATTTTGATGTTAATTGGAATGATTATATTCTGGAATAATAATAATAATAATAATAATTATATTTATTTTTTATTTTTTGGATTACTGTGCTTGTTGTGTACAGGATTTTTGTAATCATAATATTAAACAAAATTATTATTATTAATAATGAAACGATCAAAATGCAAGTAATGATGCAATCTCCCAATTTTATTTTCGTGATTCCCAATTATTATCAAATATGGAAGTCTTAGAAAAAGAATTCTAGAAAGGTTATGGTATGACAGACATTCCTTGAGAATTTAGAACTTTCCAAATGTTCTACGTATATACTTTATTTATTTGAACAAAGATTTGTACAATTCGTCTTCCTAAAAATTTTCTATTATTATTAAAAAAAATGAACGAATTCTTCATTTTCGTAACTTTAGCTACTTCAATTGCGGAATAAAAAAAAAATTAATGGTACGAAAAATTATGTATACGATGCTTTGCAAGTATTAACAGTGGCAATAAAAATTCATAAAATCGCAATCAAAAAATAATAGCAGATTCTAGAATGGGTTCCATATTTGTTGAGTGTGTTGCAGATAATGCACGGTTAATTTTTAATTTATTAATTTTTAATTTTTGTTTTTTTTTTATGTAACCGATATTTTTAAATGAAGAAAATTGCTTAACAATTTATTGAATGTTTTTAAAATGATTGTAAGAATAAAGGATATCGAGAACTATTCTATATATGTTATATACATTTTCACTAATTTTATCACTATTGTGGCGAAGTAAATTGGGAATCATACGGTCCACCTTACTCACTGAGCCTTCAGATTAAAAATAAAGAATTAAAGAGAATTATATTATATTTATTATCTGTTTCGAGATAGGCAAGTTTAGATCGACTGATTGCTTGACCTACTGGCAGATAGAGCGTATTTAAAAAAAGAAAGACAAACTTTGAGACTGATAGGCGAAAGTGTCTGAACTTTGCACATTTGTGACACTAACATTTATTTATTGAATAGATTTACATTTTTTAAAGTTTAATTTGTCAAGTACCTGCCATTGCTAAAAATTTTTATAGATAATTTTCTCAAGAATTTCCAATTAAATTTGCAGTACAAGTTTCTAGATTTTTATAATGCCAACAAAGAATAATAATAATTTATTGGCTTGAAAAATTTAAAAGAAAATAAGAATATCATTTTTGTAGTTCAATTATTTTTTAAGAATGTTACGAAAAACGGATACATAAATTCAATTAAATCTAGTTCGCGCATTTTCAAAAATAATAAATGGAAATTCTTTTAGAAACTGTTTAACCATTCATTTATTTATTATTTCGATTTTGTAATTAACTTTGTTTTCTTTGAAGCAATAATCCAGTTTTTTTTATGGAATTTCGGAAAGAAGTTCGTTATCTCGAAGTTACACAGTTATAGATCCCGATTTCATTTTCAAATAAATGAATTAAAAAAACAATATGGCAAAAAAGAAAAATTGATTCACAATTATGTAAACGATATTTTGTCATGAACTCTATAATTGTAATATCGATAATTTTAGCCATTTGATTTATTTTTAGAATGGAGAAAATATAATTGAAGTTAGTTAAAGACCTTTAATGACTGTTTATTTTATACGATGCATCAAAAAGAGACTTACATGATTTCTTCTTCCACATTATCTCTAATTTTGTAATCATTTTTTTTGAACAAAACGACATTTTCAATAACTTAAATATAGTTGTAATATTAGATCATTATAAATTTAATTAATGAGATCTGGGATAAGGTTTGATATACATATACGGATTCAGATTATTTTTTTTCTCGCTTTTTTTTTTTTCACTTGAAAAAGAAATTAAAAACGAAATTGCCAGCAGAAATGCTTAATAGCACCTTTTTATTTTTTCATTTTTTAATAATAGTAATATCAAAAATGGCAATATCAACGACGATATTAACAACAATAATAGAATCGTACCCCGGGATACTTAAAGTATATGGAATAAAAAAGTAGAACAAAAATTTCAAAGCAAAATCCAGTGATTCTTATGGTATTTGTTATTAACAATTATTAATAATGCTTTAAAATTTTCTTTTATAAAAAAAATTAAAAATATATAGAAGTAGTTCTAATAAGTTCGTAAATACAAGAACGATATTTCTTAAATAGTTGTGTCACGTGTTTCTTAACTTGAAATGCTATTCAATTGAAGTAATTTAATGGAGATTAATATTGAATATTAACATTAAAGACCTTAAACAAAACAAAACATAGTGAAATTCATAGTAAAGATATAAAGTAATAAGTCTTAGAAACCACAGTATAAAATCAGGACCGAGTAATCAAATCTCTAAAATTAAATTATTATCTTTTTCCTTATCAGTTATAATTGAAAACGATAAATTAGAGTTAACATTTAATTTTATTTTCTTTAGGCAAGGAGTAATTATTCAAAGATCAAAGCACAACAGCATCAACTTTTACTTTATCATGAGTATTAAAGACCATGTCGAGATATAATAAAGACAAAAGCTTCTATGATTGAAGGTTTGCATTTGATGAAAGTTTACTTTTAATAACAACACTATATTACACAGAATAAATTGCTCGAGTACGCATGATAATATATGTATATTAAATAATATCAGGAGAGAAACTTTACTATAGAGTCCTGAGTTCTATTAAAGGTAAAATGCCATATTTAGATTCACTGGTATTGATCATATTTTGTTTAATACAATAATAGGGAAGCTGCTAGATATTCTCGCGTTAAGGTAAAATTTATATTACTAGAAAATCTACCAAAGATTCGATGTGAGATAAATAGACTATGAAAGCTATAGAAGCAGGTTGAAAGATCGAGGGGGTTTCTCTATGCTAAAAATAAAAGGCGAAGGAAAACAATTTTGTACACAACTTCGGAAATCGGCATGATTTATAAATTAATTACTCAATAATAAATAATTACTATATATTTGTTCAATATATTTATAAAATAAATTAATTAATCACCAAATCAAGAAAATTCTGCTTATATATAAGAAAGTGATTTATGAAAATGAATTGTACTATTTATTGAATATTAATAGATGGAATTAATTTTAATACTACAATTGATGATATAAATGATGATGATAATAATAATAATAGTAATCAATTCAAATATCTAATTTAACCAGAAAAATCATTACAACGAAGCTATCCCCTTCTGAGTTGAGTTGAAACAAAATTACCTTTTCTTCTATTGTACAATTTAAACTTTTAAATTACAAAAATAAATAAATAATGATATATTAACTATATATAATAATCAAAATAATTATTTACATTATTTATATTCCATGGCATATTTAGTAATTTTAGATCAGAAAAAAGATTGAATAAATTTCCATTAAAAATAAATAACAAACAAATAAAAATTTACATATACCTTCAAAGGACTAATTATATTGATCATTTCGAATTCTATTGATCTAATAAAACTAAAGGTGTTATCTTTGTTTCAAAAAATTTGTGATTTAACAACAGCACCAAGAATCATCAGGATATTTGATAAATATTCTCAGAAGCGTAGTTTCTAAGAAATTGTAATTTCCTTTAAATTTCAATAAATAAATAATAAAAATAAATAAATTATAGAAAAAGAATAATAATAAATTACCCAAATTTTGACCAGTTGTAGTTAATAACCAAACATCATTAATAGTATTATTAGTACTAATAATGTTAAATAATAATTAATAATTAATAAGTTAATAAATTAAAATATAAAATGTGAATTCGTTAACTTACTCAATAAGTACAACTTGTTCATCAACATAACTTTCAGCATTCCTCATTCTCCAATGAAAATCAGGCACGATTTTTCTTGAACATCCAAAACAAGTGGAGGAAAACTAAATTTATCTTTTTTTCCTCCAATTAAATTCGAAATTGTCATTCCCAAATGAGAGAGAAGTATTTTAAATCGCTATATGAAGTCGTAATTCTGCATAAATCTTCTATCTCAGTGTCTGTAATTCATCCCATACTTACATATTATCGAAAGGTTTAACTAGTTCCAGGAAAAGTTTTCCAACCTATAAAATTATATCAGATATAAATATCCTAATTTACCTAATTTTTACAATTAAAGATGATATGCATATAATACTTTTAAAGAATTCAATATATCGAGGTACTGAAGCACTAACACGATTTGAAAAATTAGATATAGCAAGCCTCTAAATTCGACAAGGAGATTTTATTATCTCGGAATTTGCTATAATATCTCCACGCAATAGAAGATCATTAAATTCCATGTTAGAATCTATTAATTCAACAGTATCAGGTATTAATTGGTTTAAATAATTTTTATAATTATTAATATGAAATAATTCATTATAATACTCTCCAATGATCATTTGATATAATGGATTTTATATATTTTCATATTTTTATATGAAAGAAATTTGTAATCGCGAAGTTAAATTTACAGATACAAAGTACCAATTTCAACGTTTAATCTATGAAATATTGTTCATTTTAAATAAATGGAACAAAACAATATGACAATTATTATTGATATACTATTATGTTGACGATATTTTTCCATGAACTTTTAATCAGTGGAAATATAAGTATCAATAATTTCAGCAACAGAATACAACCATTTGAATTTTTTGATCCGTTTTTAGAATGGGATTCCTTTTGAAGAATTTATAGATGTAAAGAAAATTGGTCAAGATGGTTTCAGTCATATCTTTAAAGTAACTTGAAAAATTAACAATGGTATAAGTATAAATATAAACGGAATAAAATGTGTTAACCGTTAAGCGGTCGGAAATTGAAATTGTTTAAATAATTCAAAATAAATGTCATAACTATGAGTTCAAGACTTTTTAACGTAACTACGTAATTAATTAAAAAACATAACATATGTCGAACATAATGACGTAACTTTGAAGAAAGCACTTATAGTAATGACCAATTACGTAAAATAATTATTTAATTCAGGGCTTTTGATTTTATATGATGCCTCAAAAAAGACTTGCATAAGTTTATATATAATAAAAATTATGCAACTTTTTCTAGATCTCTTTCTTTCTTCTATATCTCTTATTTCGGTTTCTCTATCGCATTATCTAATTTTGAATTACAACCATCACCACCACGACTTTCATCTTTATTGGTTTCAGAAGATAATTATAATTGTGTTCGTAAGTTTATTTCTGTTTCAGCATTTAGAAAAGAATTGTAGAATTAAAATTAATTCTAACCTGAATTAATTACTTTTTTTGATGATGGAGAATATTATTATTACGTTATTAAATACAATGCATGATTATTAGAAAACGGAAATAGAAAAAAACTTTAAAGTTGGTTTGATGATTAAATTCTAGAATAATAATATAAATAATTTTGTTAAACTTTAATTTCATTATTGAAACCAATGTCCATTCAACAATCTTGTATTTACGATGGTATGATAATATTATAATTATTCAAATCATACAAATACCTATTAAAGTTTTAATATTATTAGAATGCAAATTCAACATAAAAATATTAACTATAAAAGTAATATTATTAAATATTTATTCGTTGTGTATAAAAGATCTCAATTACAAATTATAAAATTTTGCTTGAATTAAATAAACATGTATTATAAAGAATTCCTATAGTTTTATTTATTTAAAACAAAGTTAACTGAATTCATAAGATTCTAAGATATTTATAGTAATATAATAACAATATTTTACTGCAAATAATTATTGGTGCCAACAGAAGCAGAAATTGCTTATCTCACTTATGAAGATTCAACAGATATGTCATTAGGAAAGAAGATACGTTCAAGAGAATTAAAAAACTTAACAATATCATCATCGTTCTTTGATAAATCAAACAATAGTACTAGCTTTAATAAAAGAATTTTTTTGTTTTTTGTTCAGGGTGTTGAATATATGGAATAGTTTTTTGGAGTAATTTTATAAGTTTCATAAAAGTATTGTTACTAATTAGGGTTAAACAAATAAATTTTTTGAATTGCCACAATTCATTCTATTCTCTTTTAAAATTTTTTTGGATATTTAAAATTTATGCAATAATATCTGGTCTGTTTCATATAAACCTATTTGATAAACAAATTCGAATACATCTTTAATTGGAGTATGCGAAAGGCAAAGATGTCGATGTACACCAAGATCTTATGATGATTTAATAATAAAATAACGATTGAATACATAAATTGGTAAGAATTTTTCTAGATCTATTGTCTGTTTGTCTATAAGATGTAATTTAATTTGCGATATTTCATATTTGTTCATTTATTATTTGAAATATGTCCAAAAACTTAAATATACTGTACATTATTTGTTTATGAAGTATGAATGTAAAAAATTTTAATGTCATTTTTATTGCATAAATGTGTGAAAAAATAATAACAATTTAGTGAATTTATTATGTTATGATTTATGGAGAAATACTATTCGCATTCTTATATATTTTTTAATTGATTTTTTTATTTTATTGAATTTTTATTCAATAACTGAATTATCATCTCATCATAATATTCATAAAGCAAAGTAAATTGAATTATTTCTTATTAATTAATAAAGTTCTCGGGTGCTCAAAAATACTTTAGATTATAAAAAATTCAACTTTTCTATTAATCTTCCGTAAGGAATTTTTTGATATAAATTCAGTCTAGAAATTATTGAATTCTTTTTTTTTTTAAAGAAAATATAAATTTATTTAACAAATTAATAAATACAAGAAAAATGCTATCTTGAAGATAATATATTAGGGAAAAGAAAGATTCAACTCCTTTTTTTTTCTTTTATCGGTACAAGTTATAAATAATTGAAATTGATTGTTTTCTACTATAAAATTTTACTATAAAATGATAAGCACGTTTTCTATATTTAATTAAAATTTGTCTACTTTTTTCGCTAATTTATTTATTTTTTTCAGAATATCTTTTCTCTTTTGGATCATAAAAAGTATTATTAGTATTTTTATACCACGAAATTTAATATAAAAAATATAAATAAAATTTCGTAATTATCTTTATATTGCAATCCATTTCCATTAATTTCATGTGCCATATTTTTAAATTCTTTATATCATTAATTCTCAAGACTGATTAAAAATAACTTTCTACAATAATAGGAATAACTATTATATAATAAATGTAGAGTTAATAATAATAATAATATTTATTGTTAAAATAATATTCACTTCCTTTTCAGGCAGAAATTATTTTTTTCCCCTTGGTATGATCATTTTATTTATTGATCTCTAACGGAAAATACATATTCATACTCCTAAACAAATGAATGATACTGATAATTAATTCTTAATAAAATTTCTTATCTACTGTTATATTAAATAATAATGACCCATCCACCACATGCCAAATTGTCCATTGTAATTCTTATTTAGTTTTAAATATTCCAAATCATTTTTAATATTTTGTACTAATATTTTATATATGGTAATTTCGTTCTCAAATTACATTTAAACGTGCATAAAAGTTGACATAATAACTATATTCCTTCTCTCATCATTCAATATGTTCAAAATGGTTGTATATTCACTGGTCAAACAAAGTAATATGAGACTTGATCAATTAAGAAATTTAGCAACTTCTAGATATTTTTGATCCTAAAGTTGCTTTCAAAAGATTTTGATGTGTGGAAAGTAATAAAACACTTTTATTAAGTTTTTTAAAGTCAACGTTAAGATGAAAGAATCATGATATGATTGAAAAAGTTAATTTATTGCCTCAAGAGAAAATTCTTCAATTTGAAGATAATAAAAAATCTGCTTGCTATCATGAATCATAACACTGGTCGAATGAAGAAAAACAGGCAAAATATTTAGTACAAATAGGTATGAAGATTTATGGATAATACGCAAATAGGCAAATAGGCAGGGAGATTTGTGAATGATACACAAATAGGCTAAACCAATTTGCATCAACAATTTTGCTGATTTTTAATAATTCAACATGTATAATATTTTCCCTGAAACAATTCAATATAATACCAATTATGAAGAGGAAACAAATAATATGTATTCATTGAACTTCCAAAATATGATAAATACAGAGAACAACTCAACTTATGAAGACTATTGGATACATTTATTAAAGGAAGCTTCCAATGAAAGGAAACCTCCAAAAGAAGCACTTAATGAAAATCAAAAAGCTTATGATTTCTTGAACATAATTGACCTGAGGTGGAACGTATTAGCAATGAAAAGACTAGGATGACAATTTTAGATAATGAAGATGCAATAAGAGCAGCTGTTTTCAAATTTACAACTTCGAGAGTTGGGAAATTAAATATGCAATAATATTTTATTATTTGACTTCAATGATATACACTTCTGATCCAAAAGTTTAGAAAATTGTGATTATTTTGTCAACCAATTATTTTATTGAAATTTATTACTTGATGCTTTTAATAAATTATAAAAACAAAATTTGATATAATAGTATATATAATTTTTTATTGTAAATTCATGCCATATACATATAATAGTATATATAATTTTTTATTGTAAATTCATGCCATATACAATAAACAATTCCTGGCTTTCGATTTCATTTTTTAAAGTACTTTTATATTCGTAATGTAATGAAAAGCAGATTATTTTAATTTATAATATAATATTAATAATATAATAATTGGCCATCAAAATTTCCAATTCAATGATTCCATTGATTAAAGAAGTGGCTTTTATTGCATGATCTTGGCTTACGTCTTAATAATGCATTAGCATCTTATTGCTTACTCCATTTGAAAGAAAAATACTAAATTTATTTTATTACTCAAATTAAAAAAAAAAAAAATAATAGATATTTCTGAAATTTTAGTTTTACATTCAATTATATCATTCTATCCAATTTTTAATATATGTAACGTAATAAACCATTGTAACATTTGTTTTGCATTAAAGTAGTAGAAGTATATTGTGTGTTCAAATTAGAAACGGAAATTTTTTAATATGAGAATATGTAATTATAATTTCATTTTGACGCTCTTACAACGCTTACAAAACAATATAACCACCACACCAATAATAAACAAAATAATATATTGATAAAAATGCAAATATCGAAATAATTATTACTACTACTACTCCCACAATTACTGCCACCATCCCTTCTTCCGTCCAGTAAAGAGAGAGCCTTTAAAGCTATCTGCAATATTGATAAAAATGGATGTTATTTCAAGAACGAATTCACCAAGATCATTTTTTGTAAATCAACTGTTTGCTTGCCATGTTCAAATGCTTGTTCCATAACATCGACCTCTATTTTGACTACTACTATGACCACTACTTCACTTTCCACCTCCATCATAACATATCCTAAAATAATTGCTGTAGTGATCGACAGGCCGGACTCTTGTACAATTTCACTTATTCGATTCTAATTAAATTTCAAATTATTCAATTTCAATTAACTGGTGCATCTTTCTTTAAATAATTTTGAAAGTTCTGAAATTTTTTTTTTTTTTTTTTTTTATAATTGAGCATCTATTATAAAAATAAAAAGATTATAATGCTATTGATAATATTAATAATAATAAATTTTGGATTTCATTTTTGCTTATTATTTATAATATTTTATACAACTTTATATAAAGAATTTAAAAAGCAAAAAATTTGTTGCTTGGTGATTTATAATAAGTAGAATTATAAAATTAGGTTATTTAGAACATTGAAATCTGATTTTAAAAATATTAATAATAATAAATTACATATATTTTCATCCTGAAAATATTATATTAATGATTATCAAACTAATAGTTATTATTACATTTTTTAAATAAATCTTTTGTTATAATTTGTCATTGTGCACAAAAATAATAATACAAATCACATCTGATTTCTAAAGTTTACAAAAAGAAAAATGTCTTTAAATTTTTTTTGAGATTTTATTGAACTTCTACTTCTTAATGATGATATGATTATAATGTAATCAATGAAGAAGAAAATTGTTTACAGCACATTCCAACATATTGAAATTCAAATCGCCTTATTTTCGAAAAGAATTAGAAATATTTTTTGCTCAAATCTTCTTCAGTAAGTTGTCAGTAAAATAATATAGATACTATTGTCTCTTGAAGATTCATTTCATTTCATTACTATTTATTATTTAATTATTATTTTTTTCGATATATCTATGGAAGAATCGTTGTTGATTTAGAAATTTGTGAAACTGGATTTATTTATTGAAGTTTGAAAAATTAAACCATATAAAATGATTCTCGACAATCAACTTTGGAAAGATATCATTCCATTCAGCATCTAATAGGTCCCAAACGATTGGTAAAAAAAAAATCTATTATTTTGTCACTGAGATCAGTCTTGGTTTATAGGATTACCTTCTCATGCAGAAGAACCAAAGGAGTCTTTTTCAACTATCATTTCAGTCTTTTCAGTCTCCGCATGGATTGACTATAGGGATGCATTAATGAAGTAATTTCAATTAGAATTAATGATACAAAAATTCATAAAATATAAGACGAGTTTATTTATTAAATACTGATGTAATTTTTATGGAATATATTACAAAAATAGAATGTATAAAATTCATGCATGAACATTTAATTGACATTACATTACATTCGATAATGAACATTTATTTGTTATGAGGAAATAACTATGTATTATCATTATCTTAAGATAAATTTTATCTAAAGGCTAACCTAAATTTTCATCATAATCTAAAAACAGATCTCTATCATTTTCATAATCTTCAACATAATCTAAGAGTTTAAAGGCCAATCTTTATTGATTTTCATTCAAAGATGAATCTCTATCACAATATCTTCATCACATTCATTCAAAGGTATATCTTGATAATCTTTGTTTAATTATAAATGTCCAAAGATATATGTTTGTAATTTTTATTTTATAATATATCTTCTTTTCACTTTATTTAATTTCGAAGAAAAATAAATATTCTGATTAATGATTGATGAACTTAAAAATCACTATGAGAAATACTTTCATATTTTTTTTTTCAATTTTATAGAAGCTAATATCCAATTTGAATCTTTTTTTTAAAAAAAACGTAGGATAATTATAAATAACAACCTTCTTTTTGTTTATAAAGAGGCATAATAGATGTAAAAAAAAAAAAAGAAATGATTACAAATAATTATTTAGTGTAATTAATTATAAAACAATGAAGTTTTAATTATGTAATTAAGTTATTTAAACTACGGTTTAAAAATAGTTTCTATTTTTAAATTATCAAAAAAAAATAAAAAATAAAAGTCTGTTTTTTTAATTTTTTTTTTTAAAAAAAAGTCGATTTAATCCACTTTAAATATATTTTATACTTTACCTTTAAATTTATTTATTTTTTTCGCTCACTTACTCTCTTCTTCATTCATTTATCTCTTTCTCTATTCTTCATACAATCTTTTAAATAGACATAATTATATTTATTAAAAATACTTGTACCAGAATTTATGCCTAGAAAGAATTACACTTACTGAGTGTGGATCAATGAAAAAAATAAAAATAATTCCGCAAATGTCATTAAAAATGTTTGAAGATTTACTAGAGAAATATGAAAAAGTCATTAAAGAGTTTGAGAATATAAAAGATTTTTCTAATACAAAATCAAAATACAGCTCTATTTTAATTTTTAGAATATCTTAAACGATCAAAGAAAATTAATGTTTTTATTAACTTTAAATCTAATAGAGTATCCCTTGTATTATTATCTATTATTCATATTGCTAATTAATTATTAATTATGAAATTCTAATTAAAATATTTTGGATTTAGATAATAATTGTTCAGATGAATAGTTAAGAGTGAATGATAACCTTTAACAAAGAATCTGTTCTTGAGACATTTAACAGTAAAAATAAGCCTTGGAAAGATCTAAATTCAGAAAATAAGAAAGACAATGATATTACACAAATTGTTTAATAAATTCATTGCATTAGTGAATAATTAAATAAGAACTACCTTTCCGATTCATCATTAAATTCTATGATTCATTAATAATAATTTAAATATAAATGAATAATTATATTTCGATTTATAAATTGATCTGTTTTTTTCTTGCTTATAATCTATTTTTTTAAGTTGATTAATTTAAATTATGATAAGCTTAATTTTTAATTATTTTAAACTCTTGAACACATTCTTATATAAATTTAATTTAATTATCTTACGACAATTAATATTTATTGTTTTAAATGAGTTAATTAGATTTCCATATTCTCAATCGTAATTTAACTAATTGTGCATATAGGCAGATTTATTTGATTTCTTAGGGTTATAAAAGAAAATTTATAGGCGTTTTATAGTAAAATTTCCTTTTTTAGACCTCTTACTTTCAATATTACTATTGAAAATCATCTCAAAAATCATGCTGGTGTAATGTAGTATGATCACTCACATGATTATTATCGCGTCGCGTATCACAATAAAAATAACAATTTTGTTTTTGTGCTTTTGTTTATTTCAGGTTAAAATTAGAACTGATCATGGTACTTTTAAAACTATATAAACTTAAATTCCCTCAAAAATAATTCAAATTGTTTCAAAAAAATAACAAAATAAAATTTCTACAATTACCGCCTTCTACAATAACAACAATTTTTTTTCTCACACTCGCATTTTTCTTTTATTACTTTCTCTTAATATATCTTTCTTTATATCAATACTCTCTCATTCTTCTTCTCTGTACATCTCTCAATATACTTTCTATATTTCTATATTTATCTCACTTCCTGTATATCTTTCTCTTTATTTTATTTATATCTCTATATCCTATACATCTCCTTTTCTCTTTATATACATGATATATATTTCTCTCTTTATATACTCGCAAAAACAGATTTCCAGAACAAAACAAAATGTTTTGATAGAATTAGTTTATTTAATTAATATACATATAATTATAACAAAATCTTAAAAAAATTTTTTAAGCCGAAAACCCGTTTTTGCTGTGGACCCATATATACACTCTTCATTTATCTCGCTCCATATATTCTATCTCTCTTTCACTTTCTGTATATCTTTCTTTATATTTCTTTCTCACTTTATCCTATCTCTCTATATCTCATCTTTCTCTTTCTCTTTATACACATATATATCTCTCTCTTTCTTTCCTCTCTATAACTCTATTTATCTATCCCTCTCTCTCCATATCCTATCTCTCTTTCTCTCTCTTATTATATCTCTCTTTATCTTATTCTGTATGTATATATGTACTTTCTTTTAAATATCCCTCTCTATATATTTATTATACTCTCTCATCTATATGCTTTCTCTCTCTTTTTATATTATTTCTCTCAAGTTGATCGAAGGTGAGTATTTTTATTCACTGGGTTCATATTGATTGTTTTTTATCATATATATCTGCCGTTACTCGCATATTCAGCTGGAAAATGAAAGCACATCGTGGCCACTATTAAATCAGTGAACGTTCTTTTCTAGTTTCTTATATAGTATCTGGGAGAATTGAAAGCACATCGTGGCCCTATAATAGCGGGTTACTATTATAGTGAACGTTCTTTTCTCGTTCTTATAGTTAATGGATATGTGCATAGGATATATATTAATAATTATTGAAGATATAGATTTTCTATAATTTGATAAATTATAATGATTTGTACTCATTATCCATTTTTTTTTTTATTTTAGTGAAAAATGAAAGATGTAAATCTTCAAAAAAGAGGAGAGTATTTCATTTACTTGGTTCATATTGATTGAGTGCTTGGTAAAGGAGTCGTTCAGGTTCTATTTTTCAGCTCATCATAATATATGCATTTCTTTGCATTATTTTACATCATTTATCCTTTATTTTGTGTTATATTCATTCGTTTAGGTTCAGATTCAGATTTAGAAATGGTAGGCTCCGGTTCAGGAGTTGATTGAGCTAAACACGTCTAATCAAAATAAAAAAAAAACAAATACTATGATTAAAAATAAGGTAAAATTCTTTTTCCTCATAAAATTAAATGACATGATATTTATTTTCTTTTGTGATTTTTTGTTTCGTTAATAAAATTTTTCAATTACTTGTACAAATGAATTTTAAACCAATGTTATTTTGTAAGAAATTTTTTTTTTTTAAAAAAAAAACAAAATATGATTTTTTAAAAAAGAAGATAGCCAAGTGATCAAACAGACTTTCTATACTAAAGAGGAGAGGCAATGATCTAAAAAGTCAAAAAAAAATATTGGAAACAACTTTAGCAATAAAGTTATAATCCTTTGATACTTATTCTTAAATAGTTGATATATTAACATCTTTATATAAACTGTGCTACAAGAAAAAGACCAATATATAAATTTGAACAATGCCAAAGTATTACAGGATGTTATCTAAATTCAAATATAATTTGAACAATGACAAAGTGTCACAGGACAGAATGATATCTTTTTTCAGTATTTTTCAATAATAAAGAGTATAATCTTTTTTAAGTATTTTAATAAAGAGCATAATTGGCCCATGATACTAATGTAATTTCACGAATTAGGATATTATAATAATGACAATGATCATAATAATCTAAATTCAGACACTAGGCTGTGGTGTTGATCACTAGTGGTGCGATTTAGTAACGTCGATTATTATTATTATTATTATTTTAATTATTATTATTTTTATTATTATCTCCATTATTATAATTGTTGTTGTAATGTTGTCACTATTTGTAGAAATCAATCGAGAAAAAGAAATAGGTTATTATTATTATATAAATAATAATAAGTATATTAATAATAAATTATTAAATAATTAAATAATATACTATCTCTAAATCTTTTACGAGAAATATAATACGAATAAATAATCTTTGAATAATTAGATTTTCGGATGGAATAAGATTTCGAGCATGAAATTAAAGTATTTGTTCCAATATCCTTTCGAAGATCTAAAAATGGATATTGTTGAAGTTTTATACTTTGTTTCCTTTCACATAATTCTTTTATGAACGGACGAAAATTTACTTGCTATCTGAATATTAAAATAATTCTCATCATCATTATTATTATCATTATTATTGTTATTATTATTATTATTATTATTACTAATTTTCATTAACTATATACTTACGGTTGTAGATCTGGGATTTGTCATCATTGCTTTATATGCTTCACCAAACATGTCTATTCTAAATACATTCTGAAAATCTTTGAACAGACCTTCCAGACTTTAATTTAAATTAAAGCATAAAGGTTAGTAGAATGTACAGTATACGATATTTTATTAAAAAAAAATATTGAAAATAAAAATTACATGTTCATCCTTAAATGATTCCAAAGCAAAGGTTACAAAATTTAATCACATAAAAATGTTGTTGAGAATTCAAATAGAGAGTTGCCACGTCTACAATAACCAATTAAATTTCTTGGTTTATAATCTTGCGATGAGATTATTGGGTTACTGGTGTGGAGTAAG